GCCAATCGGCTGTGTCTGCCGCACCTGGTGGCTCTCACAGGTAACTTGGGGGGATGTGAGAAGGGCCTGTGGTCAGGCAGCACCCAGGGCAAGCCAGGCTTTGTCACCCACAACCACATCCTGAATCAGGGGAAGGGGGGTTCTGTGACCCTAGCTTACAGCTAGAAATGAATCTGAATGATCAGGGACTGGGGGGTGGGGGGCTGCTGGGGTCACTGGCCCCTGTGGAGAAGGCAGCGAAAGCTGGGATGTGACCATTTTATCTGGAGTTCCTTCCTCCATCAGTGAGTGAAAGGACCCAGAGGCCCTCCCTAATCGGGGACTCCATATACCCATCTCCATCGGAAGGGGTGGTGACTTAGGGAGACGGGCTTTGGGGTTCTTCTGCCAGCTTTCCAAGGTTCATCCCAAAGCGGGTTGAACCCGAAAACCAGTGCCCAGTAGGATGGCCTGACAGCGCTTGTCCATGTAAGGGAGGGGGCTTGGGACCCCATGAGTATGGGCTGGCTTGGTGAATCATTGCTGTTCAGAGGCATGACAAGCTCAGTGCTGAGTCTCCCACTAGGAGTGTGGGTTGCAACATGGCAGACGCACCCTGCTGGGTCTGTCACCATTACCCATCTCACACAGGTCCAGTGGCTTGGTGCTGGAGGTAAAGCCGGCCGGAGGGCAACACAGGTCCACTTGCCTGAGTGGTTGTCTGTAGAACGCTCCCTAACCCCTCTGTGTGTGTTACAGAGCAGTACATGGTGGCGGGCCTGATGGAGGCGTCGCAGATGTTGGTGGATATCGATGGGGACGTCCTCGTGTTCCTGGAATTGGCACAGGTACGAGTTGCTCATTTCTGGGCAGTTCCAGTGCTGCCCTGTGGCTTTTCGTGGCCCGCTGGCGATGGCTGTTGCTGCACTCGCAGGGGGATGAGAACTCCAGGAGCGAAAGGACAGGAAGATGAAGTGGAGCTAGATAGAGAGCTTTTGAGAGCAGTTCTTCATGCTCTATGATCCCGTCAAGTCTTGCACACTACCACAGGGCCAGCTTGGGTCGCTGGCTGGATGGGAGACCTATAAGAGACACTGGACTGTGCATGAAGTGGTGTGGGTGGAACTCTTCCATCAGCACTGAATCTAATGGCTCACCGGTGGGTGTTTGGGGCTGCCCCCTTTCAAACAGGATGTGAAAGCAACATCCTGACCTCTCGCGGTCACGGAAAACCCTATTGCAGGGTGGCCGAATTCCAGGGTGGGTAACTGCCTGTCGCATTTCCAGCGGGATGCCATGTTCTCCTCCACTTCTCTAAAGGGCTCTGCGGTAGCTGTGCATTGATAAACGACGCCTGCCTTCCACCCCAGAGGTGGCTGCACTGCAGTGGCGGTAGTTTGTAAGGCAGGTGATGTCCCCTTGCAGGCATTGCGCTGGTGCTCATAATGGTCGATCTCTCTTCCAGTTTCACTGCGCGTACCAGCTTGCAGACTGGTGCCTTCACCACATCTGCACTAATTACAACAACGTCTGTCGGAAGTTCCCCCGGGATATGAAGGCCATGTCAGCAGGTCAGTGCTCGCTGCTGCCTTTTTCATCACCCACCAGGACAGTGGAGCGGAGTACAGCTGGGAGGGACGGTGGGGTCAGCCCTAAGAGGCCCAGGGAGGGGTAGCCAGGAGAGCACTGCCCTGCATCCTGGGAAGGGGTAGTGAGCTCAGCGCTGTGGGCACTTGCCACTGCAGGGCTTGGTGGGATGCCACCTCCTCTGGTTTTGTTGTTAACATGCCCCTGGGCTGCCTCTCCCTGCAGAGAACCAAGAGTACTTTGAGAAGCACCGCTGGCCGCCTGTCTGGTACCTGAAGGAAGAGGATCACTACCAGCGGGCCAAGAAGGAGCGTGAGAAGGAAGACTACCTCCACCAGAAACGGCAGCCCAAGAGGAGGTGGCTTTTCTGGAACACCTCCTCCTCCCCTTCTGCCTCCCCTTCCTCATCAGCAGCCACAGCCTCCTCCTCCTCCTCCTCTTCCTCCTCCTCCTCCTCAGCTGTGGTTTGACAGCCCCCCCTTGCCCTCGCTCCAACATCCCTGTGAGAAGGCGGTGGCCGACCGACCTGTACCAGCATCTGGTCCACCAGGCTTGGAGTAGACACCACCGCTAAGCCATTCCGTGGAGAATGTGGAAAGAGTCCTTGGTAGGGTGGGCACATACCATACAGGGGGGCTCAGGACTTTGAGCCCCTGGATCCCCTTAGGAGTTCTCCAGGGTCCTGCTCCCTGCTGTAGTTGCTCTGGCTAGAGACAAGGACTGGGTGGCTTTCAGAGGAGGGCCCCCACAGCGGAGTTGCTGGCTTTGCAGAGACTTGTTAGCAGGAGAACCTCACATTTAGCGGAGCGTGAGCTTTCTTTTGTTTGAAAAATATTCTACAAGGAGAAAAATGAAATTCCTTCGGGTTCTGCTTTTATTTTTTAACTGGAGGTTGTGTCTTGTTTTGTCCAATGGTGACTCACTCCTCCTCACGCCTGGAACATTTCAAACCACAGCAGGAGCATGCCCTGAGATTTCCGCTGGGGCTCCTTTGACAGGGAGCAGCCTGTTTCTCTTTGCACTTACCGGCCTGGCTCTGGCCTCTGGAACATTTGCTTAGGCAGGGTGCATTTCCTGGGACCAGCCTAAGCCTGGACAACCTTCCAGGAAAGCCCCATGGACATCCAAACCGCTTCAGCCTGGGAATCAGTCTTGCTTTGTTGCAGGTGGAGAGTATCTTCACGAAGCATCCAGCTCCTCTGACTGAGAGCCCCACCCCAGTCCTCTGCCTTCCTTCCTGCTTAGCCAGCTCTCCCAGGAGGATGTTGCATTTAACAATCCCAGCTGGGGTCTGCTGAGATTCTGTGAAGAGGCTGCAGGTTTAGCCAGGGCCAAGTGGGGGGCGGGGAATGAGCTGAGAAGCAGCCTACCCAGAGGACTGTTTTGGGACAGGCTGCTTCTGCACCAGTGTGGGACCCCAGACTCTGACTTCTTTTTAAAAGACCCCTCACACACACACACACCCCAACTCCCAGTGGTTGGGATTTGAGCTTTGAAGGCTCCATTGTAATAAATGGTATTTTAAAGACCAGCATGGTCCCTGTGTGTTTGGAAGGAAGCAGGTGCTGTTTGGGAAGGCAGGGCCCACCTGCCACTGCGGATATCAGTCCTGACTAATCACTCCCATGCCCCCACCAAGCCAGCCACACACCTGGCAAAGCCACGGGCTGGCTGGAGGTAGTTTAAGGCAAAGCAGCTGAGTACCGCCACTCACATGAAATGGTTTAACAGCAGAGCCGTCGATCAACCTCACGCAGGCAAAGCTCCCATTCAAGTCAGCAGGAGTTTTGCTACAGGCCTGCCTAATACTATTTAGCAGGCTCCATCCAGAGAGGCACAGAGCAGCGATTTGCTGGCAGCCACATGCTGAATCCAAATTCAGCCAAGGAGCCAGCCTGTAGTCTGATGCCCTCTCCAATTGAGGGTGGTACCTCAGGGCCTGCAGTCAGGGGAACAAGGCAAAGGGAGAGAACATGTGTGCTTTGGCATGGTCATCTCTTTTGATAAAGAGAGCATCTGGAACCTGTTCTAGCCCATCCCAACAACTGTTGAAGGAAGAGCTGTCCCACAGAGCAGCTTTGGAGGATGCTAGTTTCATATACAGGTGTCTTGAAGGATCTTTAAAATATATTTTTATACCTAAGTGAGGTTACTCAGCTCCCCACCAGAGGGCAGGGACAGTTGCAGAAGTGTGCATTTTGCACTCAATGCCCTACCTGGAGCAGAGGGCCAATTCCACTGCTACAAGTCATGTCCACCTCCACAAGGCTGGGCTACACCCCTGAGCAGTAACTGACCAGGGATGTGGTAGGTAGTGAGGAATTAGGGTCTGATCCAACAGCCATGCATTCAGGGGGAGCCTTTCCATTGGTTTCCCTGCTTGTTGGGTCAGGTCATTAGCCTTAATGTTGCTGGTGACAGCTAAAATGAAATCAGGGAGCTCTGAGGGCAACAATCCTCTTGATGCGCTCTGGCAGCATGAGACCTTTCAGGGCAAGGGCAGGATGGGGTAATCCATTCCATCTCTGTACCAAAAGAGAAGGGTCATTTATTCCTTTGCTGGTCCCCTCCCTGAGAGGGGCACTTATCTTGTGCACATCAAAAGGGCAGGTCTGCTTCCACCTCCCATTAATTAAGACCCACTTCAGCATCTGCCCAAGGCAGTGCTTTGTGCACAGGAAGAAAAATTCAACCCGGTGCCCAATGGCATACTAACCTTAGGAGCCAGCCTCTTCTTTTGCAATGATGGGGAAGTCAGGGAGATACAGAACCCCGATCTCTCCCTCTGGTTGTGTCTGATTAGAGACATGCCAACCTTTCCTTGGAAGCCAGACCTGTGTTGAGCTCGCCAGGGTGCAGTTTCTCTGCAACCTGGCTTGGTAGAGATGCAGTGATTCATTAACAGAACATCAGTGCTGGCTTTGACACTACACAAACCTATCAAGGAGGCCCCACTTCCCCCCCCAGATGCCAAAAGCTTATTACAGTGGATAACTTTGCTTCTGCCAGGCCAACGTTGGTTTTGGCACAAAATGAGATCGGTTTGGGGTAGGTGCCACTGAAGGTCTGATTGTCCTTTGCCGTGCACCTGGTGTAATTTACATCTGCGCCGTATGGATGTTAAATGTTAGCAAGTGTGAATGGTCAGGAGACTTGGGGGGGTCATTTGCATATGAATCTAATGGTTAGTGGAGAGATACCCAGGAGCAAGAGTTTGTTCTGCTGTGCTTGCTGCCATGAAGGGGAAAAACCACTGTGGGAGGATCATAACAGCCACAAGGAACTGTGGACCAGATGATGTAAGCATATGACTTCACTCCAGTTAGAACTATGTAGATACACACCAACTCCATCTCCACTGAAACCCAGACCATTATGTCAACATTGTGGCTGAAGGCTGCGAGGAGCAGGGGGGAGAGAGACGAGAAGAGAAATTGTCGCATATAAAAAGTTTATTCTTCCTTCATACAAGTCATGTATAAAAACTGGAAATACTTAAAAATCCTGGCTGGGCCAGAGCTCTGTATAAACAACTACCACACACAGGAAAAAGGAAAAAAAAATATCCTATTTTTATATTACCTTTTAAGTTAATTTACATTTAAAATTCCTAATAAATACATAAATATGGCACCTACTCTTGCTTCTTGTTTTAAGCACAGCTTTAAAAAACCCAGGGAGGGATCGTGACAGGGAAGGGAAGGGGAGGGTAATTTTGACATTCAAGCATGAGTAGCCTCTCTCTTTTCCATGAGATGCTGGACGTGAGGAAGTGCAGCTTAGACAGCCGTCATGCTGAGCAGAGGCCCGCTACCAAGGGCTGACGAGGTGGATAGCGGCGACCGGCCAGCAGGTGCCAGTCTGGCTTGTTGGAGGGCTGGATGGTCGCCCCTTGCAGTCAAGTTCAGCCAGTTCAGTAACTGCAGGTAATTCCAACAGCCAATAAAATTGTCCCTGAACTATGCACAAAAGATAATTGGACTGGCGTCCGGACTGGCGTCCCCATGCATCTGATAGGGGAGAAAGACTGAACTTCACAACCCCTTGTGAAGTTGGGCAGTGCTATTATCCCCATTATTCAGAAGGAGAATGGAGGCACAGAGGACTTGCCCAAGGTCCCACATGAAATCTGTGGCAGAGCAAGGATGTGAACCCAGGTCTCCCAAGTAGTGTCCTAACCACAGAGCCATCATTCCTCTCTGCTGGGATTCAGCATCTTCTAAAAGACAACAAAACCCCCCTGGATCACAGTTTCAGTACCAATAGGGTAGATAGTTATTTGCTCCTCATTCCAGTAGAGTCCTCAGGTTTTAGGTACTAGATGCTCTAACCCCTACAGCAAATAAAACTGGTATCTACAGCTAAAATATACAGTGGGTAACAAATGACCCAGGAACCAGTTAAAACCTGCCTGCCACAGATGGAGGTAGAAGCTCTGGCCAGCTGGCTGAGGCTTGACAAGTTTTCTAGAAGGCTGAAGCATCCAGCAGCAGCGGCAGGAGGTATAACATTTAGTCAGAGCTTTCAGAGGGAGCCCTGAATGACAAACACACCAGCTTTGCCAGTTGCAGCTGCCGATAGCCAAGTCCCTGCAGCTGGAAAGAGCCAGGCGATGCCAATACCCACCAGGGTAAGATTCAACTGGTGCTCCACAATAATGTCTTAGCAGAGTCATTGCAACAGGAGTGTTACAAGGAAATCCCAGCCTGGATGTCTCACAGTAACTTAAATTCTGTCATTCAGAGGAAGAACCTGGGGTTTGTTCAACAGCTTTGGCAGCATCACACTCTTCCTAGAGAGCTTGCAAGGCTCTTGTGTCTCTAGAAGACAACCAACTCCCCCAGCCCAGCTGGTATCTATCAAGGAAGCCTTACTCAGGAGCAGCCCAGGGGAATCTTTGGGCAAGGGGTATCCAGGATTTCAGAGGCATTTGTGGTTATGGCTTGGAGAGAAGCAAGGCAATCCCACCCTGTTGTTCAGTTTAATTCTTCTTCCTCATAAAGGCCAATAAGCTTGGAGCAGATAATGTCTGCGACGCCCCTGAGATCAATCTTGTCTAGTGTCTCCAGTAGGTGGTTGACAGAGGCCCCTATGCCGGCTTTGTTCAGCCAGGTGCATAACATCTGGTAATGTGGCTCCTGTGAGTACTTGTCGCTCCTCTCCGCAATCTCAATCTCGTTTTCCGAGAGGAGGAGGGCTCTCCCAAACCGTCTCCAGTCCTTGAAGGGCACTTCTTGAGTGAAGATGTCGAAGGAGCACCGCAAAGCTGAGGGAAAGAGCCAGGGCACAAACACCCCATGAGAACAGGGTAGAGAGAGTATAATGCATTTCCAGTGTCCCTAGCAACCTACCCATCTCTTCTGGTAGCTTCCATATCCCATCACACTACACTAGGCCAGCTACTCCTATATGCCCCATCAGACTCTGGATGTAACTCTACCCATACTCATTGTGCAATATTATCCCACGGGAGAAGCAGGGAGATTTCTTCCTGACCCCACCTCACCCTGGTAATCAGATCATGCCCTGAAGCATGGGGATAATTCACTTTTGTTGCTATTAACTGTGTTAACGGGCTAACCCTATCCCTTTTAAAGGAAACAGTTATTTGCCTCAGACTATACAAAATGCCAGTCACCCTCCTTATTCTCCCTCCCCCCACCCCCCTTCTTCACAGCCACATGGGGAATAGGCCGCCCGGAAGATCACTGGGACATGGATTTTGGACCCCAGACAGTTATCCCTGAGCTATAGCACAATCAGGAACACACAGGGAAAGGATGATCCCCACTAAGGTTCCCTTTCTCCTCCAGGGATCCTTTGTCTGCCAGGGCAAGGTGACTTTTATCCAGAGCTAAGGGAGGTTGTGTCAGCCACTCTTCAAGAAACGGCCTCTCACATGAAGGGAAAGTTAATAGAAAACTTGTCTCCTAAGTTTTTCTGACCAAAAAAATTGCAAGTTCCCCTTTCTATTCTTTCCTCCCCTCCCTGTTTTATGCAAAGAAGGGGGAGAAATCAAACCAAAACCCAAAATGACAGTTTGTTTAGATTTCAGCTAAAAAAAATTAAGTGAGAAATAACTTTTGTGCTAAAGTATTTTGACCAGCCCTGTTTTCAGCTACTGGGGAGGGGGAGTGCAGTGACGCTCAGAATGCACCCACTGGGGCTACAACACATCCCATGGAGGCCCAAAGCCCTAGAACACTTACTCTCTATTGGGTCCTTTCCTCTCCCTGGAACCAGTTTCCTCCTCCCGCTCGCCATTTGAGATGCTGGGTTTCTCTGCAACACATGGAAAGACGACAACACATCTCCATTACCCTAGGCAACAGGTTGACACACGGAAAGATCCCTATGGGGCAGGTCGGAGCGCAACTGTCTGAGCCTCTGGGCAGAGCTGCTCTTGATTTCCAGGATCTCCTCCATCCCATGGTTACTGGGCTGGATTCTCAGATCGAAGCCCCCAGCAATCTGTAATGCAGTGCACACTGATGTTACCAGCTACCAGTAACCACCAGCAAAAGGGGGACTTTCCTCTTCTCCCCTGGCTGATGCTGAGTCATGCAGGGGATTTTATGCCAAGTAGTTTGCCTTTCCTGCAAGACCCTTCAGTTGAAACTTCTGTACAAGGATCATCTGAACGTGCTGAGCAGTGATATGCTGGGACCCCTAACCTGGGGTATGGGGAACAGCCCTGCCACTCCACAAGAGGAGGAAAAAAGCCATGACCCAGGGTATCTGTGCAGAGTGTTCAGCACCCCAGGGTTACAAGGCTTCTGCTCAGCCTGGGATATTGTTAAGTGCTGCAGGAAGCAGACCCTGCAGTTCTTCCACATGCCACAAGAGACCAGGCCTGGCTGGGAGATCCTGCATTGCTAACCCTCATTACTCCCTTCCCTGGCCAGGAGCACTAGATCAGCCAGTCCCACAGGGAAGGGATGGGGCTTGGAGACTGAAATCACTTTATCAGTAGACTCATGCTAGGGCACTGTGGCCACAGGCACCTTGTCCCCCCAGTGGCAAAGACTGAACTTGTGATCTTCAGCTCTCAAGAAGCTGCTTGGTTAGAAGATGGAGGGGATGGCATGATAGAATAGCCTAATTTTGGCAATTGACTACTAGTGCTAAATGATCTTTGACTACTAGTGGTAAATAGGCCCAATGGCCTGTGATGGGACGTTAGATGGGGTGGGATCTGAGTTACTACAGAGAATTCTTTCCTGGGTATCTGGCTGGTGAGTCTTGGCCACGTGCTCAGGGTTTAGCCGATTACCATATTTGGGGGTCGGGAAGGAATTTTCTTCAAGGGCAGATTGGCAGAGGCCTTGGGTGTTTTCTGCCTTCCTCTGCAGCATGGGGCACAGGTCACTTGCTGGAGGATTCTCTGCACCTTGAAGTCTTTTAATCACAATTTGAGGACTTCAATAGCTCAGACATCAGCTAGGGGTTTGTTACAGGAGTGGATGGGTGAGATTCCATGACCTGCGTTGAGCAGGAGGTTGGACTAGACGATCATAACGGTCCCTTCTGACCTTAAAGTCTATGTTTCTAAGAGAAACTTGCACCAGTCAGACGTTAAAAAGGGATGGAGATCTACCCGATTAAGTCTTAGGATCTAGTACATGCAGTAAGGGCACATCAGTAAGTTACCTCCTCCTTGGGGGCACTGGCTGCTGCAGACAGAGCCGTAGTCTCACACTGGCTATCCTTCCTTACAGCTTCTTTGCGGCCTGATACAGCCAGCAACCCATGCTGGGATTCCTGATCTAACTGCTCATTCCGTATGTTGTCCTGAGTTCCCAGCCTCCCTCGAGCGCAGTTCCTCAGTGGTGACAGGATGTGAGCCTTCGTTAAGGAAAACTAAAAAGAAAAAAAAGAAAAAAAAGACACTCTCTAAAACCAGCAGTACCAGGTCTGGAGGTATAAAATTCCAAAGGATCTGGACTGTAGAGAGGCCTATTGAAGGGTTACTTCAGAAGAAGCAGATTTCAGAAGCTACTGTAAGTTAGAGATGGATCCAACCCCCCCACCCCCAGATCTGGATTCTGAGCAACCAAGTTTGGTGGAGGGTTGGAATGTGGTTCCAGAGCTTAACTATGAAATATTGGCCAACCTGAGAATCTCTAATCCAGAGGTGGGGTTCCAACCCACCCTGCATTTCTGCTAGGGCAGGTAGAATCTAAACTCCCCTCTGATACTAAACCAGGCTGTCCACTCGTGACAGATTTACAGCTTGAAGAGGCCTGCTTTCCAACCTGGGTGCAGCCAAATTCTCAGACGACCAACTGGCAGGAGTTCAGATCCATACCCCAGGCCTCGCACTCCCCTCCTGGCACCCTCCCCAGCTAATCTAACCCCTAATTTTCTCATTGCCACATCTCCACTCACGACACAAGAACAAGAGTGCTATAGGACAAACACCCCCCTCACAACGAGAGGCTTGCGAAGTCAACTGCCCGCTGCGTTTGTGCCTGCGATGGGGGGTTCCAGGGAAGAAGGGGAGGGGGATCATGCAAACAAGGGATCAGCTACCTCACAGAGGCCAAGCTGAAAGTGGGGGAAGGGAGAGAGAAAAAAAACCCTCCCTGGCCAGAGATTGCCTTGAGTCACACAACTGCTTGAGTCCTTGCATTTCCACAGTCCCCACCCCCTAGCTAGGAGAGCTTCTGGCCCAACGCCCCTCCCTTTCCAACAGTGAAGGAAAAGGAGCCGCCACCCACCCTGTGCTCTTGGAAACCCTGTGGTAGCAGCTTCCTTACTTGGACCTATGCAGATCCCATGGGAACCGACGAGGCTCATGCTTTCTGGTTACAGGCAGATCTTTGAAAGCCCAGTAGGTAGTGAGTGCCAGAGAATGAATGAATGAATGAATGAATGTGTGTGTGTAAAAATCAGACTCACCCTCACCTTGAAGCTGGCTGATTTCTTTCTAGGATCACCTGGAAAAGAAACAGGATCCAATTAGCAGCTTTCACCCCTTCCCCCTGACTCTCCTGTCTTTCCCTTGCACAGGCTCCGTGTGCAGAAGGAGGTGGCAGAGGGAGGTGGCATGCAGCCAAGCCTGAGCAGAGTCATTCCTGCCCCACAGTCAAGCCATCTGAGTTCTGTTTAGCTGCTACAACCCAACCACAAGACCCACAACTGGCTAAGCCACCCTCCCCATTACACTAGGGGCAGTGGTTCTCAACCTATTTACCATTGTGGGCCGCAGCTCTCTGTGTTAGGTGGGCCGCATCCACACAATCTCTCTCACACACACACACCCCCTCCCCGAGGAGGTCATGCGGGCCACAGCTGTGTGCTGATTAGACCCCAAGCAGCCGGCAGGTTGAGAACAAAGGGCCAGGCTAGGGCCTGGCCACGCCACAATTAAAGTTGAAAAAAAACCTCTGTTCAAAGCTGATAGTTCTTCCCCCAAAGTGCTCCAAGATCCACACGCACCATCAGATAGTCCTGAAGGCTGACATGCCAGCAGAGGGGAAGGGGCAGAGTTTGTGGGGTCCCAAGATACAGGCCCCCCAAAACACAGGTGTGTTCTTAAAAAACTTTGCAGCGAGTCACTTTTCACTGCCAGGATTCAATGTACAACCTTCCCTGTGTCAGACGACCCCGGCCCTGTGAGCATCTCTTACCTCCAGAAGACGAGTTGCGACTGTAAAAACACCACAGCAAGACTGCAAGCAGGATCATGAATATGAGGAGTGGTGCTACAATCCCAACTGCTGTCCAGCCTGTAATGCCATCTGAATGAGAAGAAACAGGGCCTGAGAAAGCACTCACGAAAAACAGCCAGATTCTCCTCTCAGCCAGCAATTCCAGTGAAGTCGCTTCTTATTCACAGCACTGAGTGTGTGGCCCAGGGAGTCTGAATGCCCACCTTTCTCCTTCAAGTACAGCACCAAGTTAAACATGAACTCCCACTGCTTCTGCAGGCATCTCCCCTCAACACCCACTCCGATAACCCTCTGCCCTTACCTGCCGCAGGAGGAGGGCCTGTGGGATGCGCACACTGGATGTCACTTTGCGGCATGCAGGAACTGACCTGCACTTCTCCTTCAGGACACCTAGGAAAAAGACAAGAATGGATCAGAACGAGGGAGGCCGGCCAGCCAGGGGCAGGGCAAGTCACAGAATTCCCCACAACGGAGTTAAGGGCAAGCCTACAGAGCAGGGTCATCAGATGCTTCTGCTTCAGCGCGGATGACTCACCCACCTCCCACAGCCGGGGTCAGGTATTTCCCCCACTTCCTCCCCAACTCAGCACACCAGCAGCTCTGACCTGGGTCTGCACCTCTGGCATATTTCACAGGGATGGTCTGGAGAGCAGAAGGTTCCATTCTTGCAAGTACACTGTGTGTTCTTGCTGCTGTTGCACTGACTCAGCTGCACCTCATCTGGAGAGCACAGGAAAGAACTCGGTTAGAGCACCACCTCACCCAAGCCCACAGAGCATGCAACATCCGTGTAATGAGCAAGAAGGGCTTTTCTTGCACTAATGGGTCTGACGAGGTAAGGCTGTTACCTCGGTTTCAACTGAGGAGCTCAGATCCTTCTTGCTGGGGCTAGAGATCCTGACTGCTCTACAGACAAGATCCTGCGTCACATTTCCTTAGCATAGCAATTTACCCAGAATTCTTTGCCAAAGTCTCCTCCCTCCGTCACTCCTGTAGGAGGCGCTGGTTGATTGCATCCATACACCCAAGAGCGGACAGCCGTTCTCACACTTGTAAATAAGGTAGGCAAAATTCAGGTTTCCTTGTCCTCCCCCTCCCCCCCGCCAAATATAAAATTTGACAGATATCCATGTTGAGTTTTAAGCATTTTCTATTTGAATTATTATAGCCGTGGGAAATCATTGGGGAGGAACGTCAGGCAATTAAATGACAGTGAGATTCTGTAACTGCTAAAAAACACTGTCAACATCCCATGTCAAAATATAAAAAAGTAAATATCCTTAAGCCAAACTCTCGTAAGTTCTCAAGCAGCATTTCGCTTACTTTGCCCATCTGTAAATTTCAGTCATTATCAATGGAAATATTTGTCAGGGTGTACAAATGTGAACTTGATATTTACCAATAAAAGTCTAATCCTTCCAGCCTACTCGTAAAGCATACATTGCATCTCCACCCACAGCGTCTTGTCCATATGGAAGATAGCCTACAACTGCTGCCCGATGACAGTTAGTACTACACTAACTCAAGTAGCAAAGGTCTGTGCTGCAGAGCTCAAAGTCTTCAATTCAAGCCTTGACAATTGCCCAGTTTGTTATATTTTATAGAGATAATGGGATAAATCCAGCCCTGGCATATGCAGGTACAATGGAGTCAATGGTGCTGCACCTGCTTATGCCTGCTCTGTTGTCCAAAAGCCGAACACTAATCCTGCTATAATAGACCAGCAGGAAGTGCTGTGCATCTGCCCATCACTCAGTAACTTTTAGCCCTTCTAATACAAGATGCTCTCGGCCAAACTCTTGTTGAGGTTCAACAAGGACAAGTGCAGAGTCCTGCACTTAGGACGGAAGAATCCAATGCACCGCTACAGACTAGGGACCCAATGGCTCGGTAGAAGTTCTGCAGAGAAGGGCCTAGGGGTTACAGTGGACGAGAAGCTGGATATGAGCCAACAGCGTGCCCTTGTTGCCAAGAAAGCCAATGGCATTTTGGGATGTATAAGTAGGGGCATTGCCAGCTGATCGAGGGACGTGATTGTTCCCCTCTATTCGACATTGGTGAGGCCTCATCTGGAGTACTGTGTCCAGTTTTGGGCCCCGCACTAAAAGAAGGATGTGGAAAAACTGGAAAACGTCCAGCGGAGGGCAACAAAAATGATTAGGGGGCTGGAACACATGACTTATGAGGAGAGGCTGAGGGAACTGGGATTGTTTAGTCTGCGGAAGAGAAGAATGAGGAGGGATTTGATAGCTGCTTTCAACTCCCTGAAAGGGGGTTCCACAGAGGATGGATCTAGACTGTTCTCAGTGGTAGCTGATGACAGAACAAGGAGTAATGGTCTCAAGTTGCAGTGGGGGAGATTTAGGTTGGATATTAGGAAAAACTTTTTCACTAGGAGGGTGGTGAAACACTGGAATGCGTTTCCACCATAGGGAGGTGGTAGAATCTCCTTCCTTAGATGTTTTTAAGGTCAGGCTTGACAAAGCCCTGGCTGGGATGATTTAGTTGGGGATTGGTCCTGCTTTGAGGAGGGGGTTGGACTAGATGACCTCCTGAGGTCCTTTCCAACCCTGATATTCTGTGATTCTATGAAACTCGTTTACCACAGATTTCAGAGTAACAGCCGTGTTAGTCTGTATTTGCAAAAAGAAAAGGAGTATTTGTGGCACCAGTTTCTAAGGGTGCCACAAGTACTCCATTTACCACAGAGTAAGACACTTATTTGTAATGTAGTGACAGCAAACGGCCCCAGTCATTGGCCAGCAGGTTATTGTGCTAGACGCTGTACGAACAGAACCAGCCACCTGTCCCTGGCCCACAGAGTTTACAATCCCTCCATCGTTCGTATGGTGAACTGAGTACAGTGAAAAACTGCCCCCTGGAGGAGCGGAGGACCTCAGCATCTATTTTTTCCTCAGTACCTTTTCTGCAGACACGACAAGTCAGGCACTTGGAAAGCGCATTGGGGTACTCTGTGAATTCAGCTCCTTCTTTACACCGAGAGCACTTCCCGCTAGTGTTTGAGGTAACACAGTGCTCTTCAACATGGAAACCTGCAGGGAAGGAGGAGGAGATATGTGAAGAGAGACAGATACAGGACTAAGCGTACACAGGTGGCATTTCCACGAATAAAGGGCTAGACCTGCATTCACTGAAATCAAAAGTTGGCCAACTCAGAACTGATAACAGGAAACACTTCCCACATAATGGGTAATTAGACTGTGGAACTCTCCGACACAGGAAGTTAAGGCCAAGAACTTGGCAAGGTTCAAAAAGGAATATACATGGATATCCTAATAAATAATTAGGATAACCTAGGATTACAATGATGTTGGAAGTGATATTAAATCTCCTGCTTCAGGGTTTAAGCCAATCTATAACTCCTGAAGACCAGCAGGAGACTAAGTCTACCTCCTGCAGGGGTGTAATGAGATGACCAGAGGAGTGTCTTGAGACCTTTGTATTTAATGTTCTGACTTATCCGTATGTCAGAGCCAGCTCCCAAAAGCAGGTAACATTTAAAAAAATAAATAAATAAAAAAAATTGCTATGTTGAGGTGACCCAGACGATGTGGGCCCTTGGACTAGCCCTCAAGGTCAATAGAGGTTCTAGATATGCACATCTGGCTTGCTGGGTTGGAGGGCCTACAGACTCTGGAACAACAGGGAAAGGGATGGGGAATTAATGCAAAATCTCAGAGCGGATTATGCAACTAGCCAGCCCTATGAGGAGGCTAGTGTGACCTGATGTCCTGCTTATATCAGGACTCTCCCAATATTAGAGGCTGTGTCTTCTATAGGACCCTCTTCCCACCTCCACTCAAACCTATTCTGCTAGCCTAAATACAATTTTGACCAATATCAGTGTTTATTTCAATTTGTACAGCTTTGGGAAGTTATGGGTGGTCAGGCAATAATCCTTTAGTGACAGATGTTGAGATTCAAAACGTTAAATATTTATAACTGCTAAACAAAACGGCCAACACCCTATGTCAAAATATACAATGTAAACATCCTGAAATTCAAACGCTACGTTCCCAAACAGCATTTTTCTTACTTTTGTGTATCTGTGATTTTCAATCAATGGGATTTTGTGTTTGGGGGTATAAGGTGAAAACATTTACCTGTTTAAAGAAACCAAAAAACAAACAAACCAAAAAACCCACTAATCCTTCTAATCCTACACATGACCACCCACCCACCCACACCCCCTGGGGGAAAGGGCAGTGACCTTTTTGCAGGAGGCTGGGAGGCAAAGCAGGAGTTTGAGATATAAGGAGCCAGTTTGAACTGACAGGGGGACCTTCATTTTGACTCAGACAGACAGGACCTTTTGCACTGTGGAAGGGGTGGAACTGCCAGGGTCTCCATAAGACTGACCAGGGAGGGTGTTACTGGGAAAGCATTTAGATGCTTTTATTGTTTTATATGTTCTCAGAGAGCCTTTTTATCATTAAGTAAACGTACTCTAGAAGAGCTACTTGGTCATTATAACAACCACCACGCATAGCCCTTGGAGAGAAACCAAGGCCGCAGGGTCTGGACATTCATCAGGATAAGAGCAAGGGGCCTACAAGTCTAAGCCCCTAGTCAGGAGGGAGAGGGGCGTGGATCCCTGCTCACAGAGAGATGATGGTTAGAAGTCTGGGACCCAAGAGGCATTCCTGGAGCAGACCACAGAGTGGGAGCGGGGGGCAAAGGGGCAGGCACTCTAGAACAGACATGGGCATCTTACACCCTGTGCAGCATCCGGAGCCAACCATGGTCAGAGAGAGGATTCTGTGCTAGAGGGACGCTGGTGTGATCCAGTCTAGCAATTCCTATGGTGCTACTGCAGGCGAGTGAGCACCAGTGAAGCAATGAGATAGAGATTGCTACCTACTCAGAGGCGACTGGTAACCCCACTGCTCTGGTATCCTGGGGAGGTGAGAGGGATGGACATGGACACAGAGACCCAGTGGCACATGCACCAAGCACAACTGGAGCAGGCAGCATAATTGCAATGGAAACTCACAGCCCCATGTACACCTAGGACGGGGCAGTGGGTGGAGAATGCGATGCCCCCTACAGGACGGTGAAGGAGCGGGGAAGAGCTGGAGAGCAAAGTCCCTCCTTATATCCCCAGGATGGGGACAGAGCAGGGCTGGATAGCAAAGGCCCAGGACACAGCAGGCAGCTGCAGGACGGCAGAGTTTCCTAGTTATCCCCAGAGCAGGGACAGTGCAGGCAGGTGAGCAGAAGAGAGAGGAGCAGACAAGGCAGCTCTGGGAGCATCATACCTGCAGGGCACTTTCTGCAAAGATGATCTTCGTGTTTGTAGAACTCAGAGTCCTCCGTGCTGCGACTCAAAGCTATGGGGATCAACTGGCGCCCCTCTGGATCCTGGGCCAGCGAGACACTTGCTGACTTGGCTCCGTGCTATAAAAGTAGATTTAAAGACACAGAGGGTCAGTTGAGTTTGGGTGGCTGATTTGCTGAAGCCACAGCATCTGGCTGAAGACTGGAATGCTGGGAAGCATGGCCTGGGGGAGGGGGGCGCATGCAGCAGGAAAGAGCTGCATGGTGGTCGAGACTGGGAGATACTCAAAGGGGAAGAAGAAAAAAAAGATGCGGACAAAGGACTGGGAGTAAGGACTCCTGTAGTCCCAGCTCTGCTACTGAGCGGTCTTGGGCACTTCATTTCCCCCTCTCTATGCTCAGGTTTCTTCAGGGAAGAAGAGAGGCCCTCAACCCCCTGGAGAGGTTTATAAAGGTTTCCTGGGATCCCCAGATGTAAGGGCCTACAGAAGGGTGCAGGATTATCAACATTTCCCTGTAACGGGTCTCTCCCACCTGTATCTGGTGCTTGTGAACAAACGGTCAATTGTGGTGGGATTGAGGTGCTGGAGGAGGAAGGGGAGCACACGCAAAAACAGCATCGCCACCCCCCCCGCCCCGATGCTAAAAGTTTGCCAGCTATGCCACAAGCAGGCTCAGAGTGACTCAAGCTTCAACCTCACAGTTTGTGAGGAGGCCAGAGCTCTCAATGAACAGCCTTGAACATGAGGTAACCTTGTGTTATTCCCCTTAATCTGGTCTAAAAGATCAGGAAATCCATGGCCTGTTTTTATCTGCTCCAGTCATTACTCATTCATAGGAGGATGTTGCATCAGACCTCAACTTCTAGAGGTCAGATTGGAGTTAGTGTGGACACACCCTGGATTTATCTTGGGCCAAAATACCAGCCCCACGCGACAGTGCAGCCAGCCCCTCTGCAGGAAAACAACATTGTTGCACCTTTCACCAGAGCATCTTTACAGAGGCAGGCACTGTTATCTACCTCCACATGTACATGTGGGGAAACTGAGGCACAGAAGTTATTCTGTGCCTGACTTGTGACCTTCAGCAATAGAATATGGCTTTCCCCAACTTCCAGCACAAGCCAGATGGCCCAACAAATCTGGGGAAAGCTCCCTTGCTGTGGCAAGACAGGAATCCAAGAGGCTCCCAGAAGTTACTGGGACTCGTCTTCTCTCAGGACACTCCACAAGAAAAGCTTTTTTCCAGGGGGTCTCCTCTCCATGGCCACTTGCCCCTCCCCACTAGTTCCCACTTTTATTCACACCGGGACAAAAGTATCAGATTGCAACCTTCCTTAAACTCCCCTGCCACCCCATACACACTCCTTACAAGGGAGGGAGGGAGAGAGAAAGGGAAGGGACAAGAGATGGAGAAACAGACAATGGGATGTCAGGGGTGCAAGGGATAGCTCAGTGGTTTGAGCATTGGCCTGCTAAACCCAGGGTTGTGAGTTCAATCCTTAAGAGGGCTGTTTGGGATCTGGGCCCTGCTTTGAGCAGGGGGTTGGACTAGATGACCTCCTGAGGTCCCTTCCAATCCCGATAGTCTACGATTTAGAGTCTCTACCCCCTACAAATCAGCCTGGTGTGACTGCAGAAGCAAGTACGGGATGAAGGAGGATGTGGTCATTCCCAAACAGGATGAGCTGGGGGAAAAAGAAGATCTCCTTAGATTCTTCTGCTGGAGGCACAGCTCAGATACGGCCACCTCCCCCACATCCCGCACTAAATTTATGCGGGGAACAGTGGAGACAATCCAGTAGCACTTTCTGCATTCCACAGGCCTTCATCATCCCTCCACCAAACTAAGCTTCCACTCCCTTCCTCTCTTTCTAACCAAAAGAGACCATGTTTTCCCTCCCACCCCAGTCTCTGGCACCACCTGGGCTAGTCCTTCCTCACTCATCCCAATCTTTCTAGGCCAGTTGGAAAGAACACAGGTTGTTGTTTTTTAAAAGCAGAAAGGAAAAAGTTCCCTGAGGGAGGCAGAAGCAGCTTTTAAAAAAAAAAAAATCTCTGCAGGAAACAAAGTTCGAAACAATTAAAATGCACTTGACATTAAATAACTGTACAGATCCGAGCTGTGTAAACTTCTCCCAACCCCCTCAACACACTTTTACTGGGGAGGGTGTGAGCTAGGTAACTGGCTGCAGCTGGTTTCACGCAATGGTGCTCCCTGAACCTAGGATGACTCAGATCCGTAAACATTCTTCAGGCCAGCCCCCATTCCAGAGCAAGCACAAACTTCTGTTTGTTCTTTGCAGCATCAGGGCTGCACTTTCAAGTACACATCAGCAGCCAGGGGAGACTCTCTCGTGTTTTCTTCAAGCACACAGATCTTTTGCTGGATGGACAGAGTGAAATTCACCCCTGGTTTCCCCTCCCCATTATCCCAGAGCCACAGCCATCCCCTGGTTAAACAGTAGCTTTGGGTCAAAGCTTGAGGTGGAGGAAACTCCAGAGCCCTGCAATAGAGGACATTCCTTATCCTCGATTACTCCAGTACAATCCCATCAACTCAAGGCATCACATCACAGCCATCTGCGGCAATGCACTGACATTTTAGCTGCATTCATCAACCCCACAGATCCCGAGGTGCTTCAAGAACACCCCCCTCCCCGATCCAGGATTGCATCACGCACTTCTGCAATGAGAGGTGGCTGCTACAACTCAACACAGGTTAGGGCAGGAGGTAAGGATACCGCATGGCCCTGAAACTGGGGGTGAGATATTGGGATGGAAGTACGCCAGAACTTCCTGAGCCGCCAGATCTTTGAGGCTCACGCAGCGAGGACACGCATGACAAGAGCGCCAACCCCTAAAAAACAAATTTGCTCACCCTACCATCACATGCCACCCGACAGAACTCCCAGCCTCTGGAGAGTAAGAGCCAGAGCCTCCCACATGGCTGCCTGCTAGCGAGGAGCGGGTGAGGGGCAGTGTCTCTATACAGCTAGGGAGGTTACAAACCCCCTCACCCTGCTGGTATGTGGATGTAACTAGGGGTGCGCGCACCAGCTTGTATCGGCTGAGTTACTGCACCCACCAGGAGCTGCCTGCACTCTTCCATTCCTCCCACAAGCTCCCTGCATGCCACCCACTCCGCAACTCCCCTTGCCAGGGATTTTTATGTGCTCCCACCCATGGCAGATGCTCTGTGCGTATGCCATTCCCCACACACACACGCACCACTTTTCCCTATGCTAAGGGCTCAGTGCACCCCCACACCATGGTTCCCCAGTTTTCCCCCCTGCCAGGGGTTCTATATAGCCCCACACAAGGGTCCTAGTTCTCACCCTCTGCTGGGGCCACATCCCCATACCTCCCCTTATTTGTCTGGGAGATTGTAACCTACTGACACCCTGAATGACTCCGTTGGAAGGAGGAGCAGGAGTATTACCCCGGAAGGTGTTAATGGGGCCATTTGATCTAGACCAGAGGATTCTCAAATTTCATTGCACCCCGATCCCCTTCTGACAACAAAAATTACTACATGACCCCAGAAGCGGGGACTGAAACCTGAGCCCACCCAAACGCCACTGCCCAGGGCAGGGGGACCAAAGCCCAAGGGCTTCAGCCCTAGACAGGGGGCCTGTAACCTGAGCCCTGCTGCCCAGGACTGAAGTCCTCAGGCTTCAGCCCCAGTCTCTCAGCAAGTCTAAGCCAGCCTTTGCGACCCCATTAAAATGGGGTCCCGACCCACAGCTTGAGAACTGCGGATCTAGACGATTGCAGAGGTGCTTAAAGTTATAGCTGCACCACTCAGATGGCAAGGGCTCAAGGTATCCCCCACTCTCCCTCCCAATTAATATGATTCTGGCCCTTGAGACCAAAAACATTCCTGGAAATTTTAGAATTGATCAGATGCGGTGTTCCAGCGTGATTGTGAGAGACACAAAAAGACAAACACAGAAGTGCCATCAAATTGAACACAAGGCATTTACAATTTGACCAGCAATCCACATATCCACTCAAATTACCCACAGGTAATGAAGTCTGCTTTCACCTCTCAGTAATAAACCCTGTCTAACCTGCAATTAGCCACTATCAACCCCAACTCTAACAAAAACAGCTTCATCTATAGCTTAGGCAGGTCTCAATAAACACAAGACTTGAAACTCACCAAGCAAGGGAGCAAATAGAAGCTCACCAGAACGTTCTTAACATGAGAGAACGTTATCAGCAGACACCCAATGGCAGCACCTTACATCAGTCACCCCAAAGACAGCTCCTGGCTATTCCCTTCAAAAGGATAAAAATTTAAACTGAGAAGCCCTGAGTGATCTTCAGAGGGCATGTTTTACATAAAGCCTCAGCCCCCTATGGTTGGGACATATCCCATTTAGAAGCTTGGAATCGGACACAAACGATGAAGAGACTTGCCCAAGATCACATAAGGTATATCTATATTGCATTGTAAACTGTAGTCTGTCGGACCCGAGCTCATGGACTCGGTGTTTCTCAGTCTATGGCCGAGCATCGGCACTGCATTATAAACCTGGGCTTACAATTGCTAGATCCAGGTCTGACAGCCCTACTAATGACCCCCACTGCACCACGCTGACCCTCTGACTTGGGTCCGTGGCTTGAGTTGTGTCCACACTGCAAAATGATAGGGCTTGGACCCAAATCACAGTGGGACTTGGGATCAGCCCCAGACCCCCAAGATAGGTTCTAGGAGCTGGGTCCTGAGTGTTTGCTGACCCGTCCCCACACACAATCGGACTTGGAAGAGGCTCAGAGCTGAGTCTATAGACCTATCCATAATTCATCTGTGGCAGAATCTGGAATATAACCTTGTCTCAACCCTGTGTTTTAACCATAAGACCTTCCTTCTTCTCTAACCCCTTCCCACCCAGCACACACACCAAGGACTGACTGAATTGGTCCCTCCAGCTCAGGGTTAAGACACATTGGTGGGGTGAAGGTCACGTGGCTATATCCCTCATCCGCTGAGAAAACCTGTCACATCCCTTTCCAGGAGCCTAATCCCCATTCCACTGAAGTCAGTGGGATCCTTTCTCAGCCTTCAGCAAAGCTGGCTGAGCCTTTGAGGCCCATACAGCATTTCCTCGAACACGGCAGTAAACTCAGGCCCCTATTGGGCCACCGAAGGCACAGGTTTGCCAGCAAGAGTCCTCTACTGAGCTCAAAGCTAAAACACACGAGGCTCGTGCCATACAGCCAGGGAAGGCTTTTTGAGATGAAAACAGGAAACGTAAATCAGTCACCAGTGATGAGATTGATGTTCTTAAAATTACTCACCCTAGTAATATTAATACATAGCTGTCTGCAGAGGCGACCTCTCCCAGATAAGAGATATTTTTAAGAGGCAAGCCTGGAGAAGAGAGCATAATTCTCCCACCAGAAGACAGGCCTGGGCAGTTATAGTCCATCATGCAGACTGCTATTTAGTGCAGTACGAGTCCCTTATAGCGAGAAATTCACACCCCCCCGCCATGCACAGAGCTACAGCAAGGCCTGGGCACCACTTAAATGGTGCCGGCTGGCCACGCAGGAATGAATTTCACCAACAGCAACCTCCAATAGCCCCCAACACAGTTCAGGAGAATGAAAGTGACATTAGTACAAGTGAAGGTGCATCTGATGAAGTGGGCTGTAGCTCACGAAAGCTTATGCTCAAATAAATGGGTTGGTCTCTAAGGTGCCCCGAGTCCTCCTGTTCTTTTTGCGGATACAGACTAACACGGCTGTTACTCTGAAACCTGTCATTAGTACAAGTAGTTTAATATAGCAAGTGCCTCCCATGGCCCTACTCGAACAAGGATTGAAACAAAACGGTTTCAACATAAGTTTGGACGGCCACATTGGACGTCAGTATTTTTTGCAGCATAGAAGGAAACTAGCCATATTTTAAACCTAACCCAGAACCACGTTACCCCATGTGCAATATGAGATAGAATAGATCCGTTTTCAGCCCTTAGATCATCATAGTTTATGGCCAGCACAGTTCTAGGTGCTTGGCTACACTTACATTATATAGTGCTCAAACTTGCTAGGCTCCCAGCACTCAGAGCTATTTCCCTCGTGGAAGTGGACTATCAGGAGCACTGGGAGAGACCTCACGCAGGACCACACGCGCTTCAAAGCGCCACGGGAGCGCTCCATGGGCAGCGCTTTGAAGTTTTAGTGTAGATCTCGCCTAAGCGTGCCACACACACCCCCGCGCCCCGTTTTCCTCTCCTGCCAATAAAACCAAGTTTTGGAGCAAAGTAGCCAGCCGAGAATCTACACCAGGCTTACAACATTCTGAAAAAAGCTTTGACGTCCACAACAGTGAAGGAGACAATACTAAGTCTATATTGCATTTTATAAAACACTTCTAAACTGACCTAACGCTTCATGACCCTTGCCCCAGAGAGATTACAGTCTTAAGTTATTTTTAAGTACCCAAAAGCATTTTAAGTGCTTCCTAGAAACAAATGAAGCCATGCACTCTGCCCAAAGTCCTTACAGGTGAAGGCCCTGATTTGCAGACACTTGAATCCCTGGAGCCCAAGTGAATGTAGTTCCCAGATAGAGCTCCAGGGGTTTAGTCACATGAGTAAAGTTAGAGTTCAGGTCAAGTTCAGACATGACTCAGCAATTATGGGGTAACAAGAGGAAGGAAAAGGGTGACGCTAAACTAACACATCAGTACGTGAGGCTCGTCACTGCCGAACTGTTTCTTTCGGTAAGTTGCTTGGGGTTTGTTTTTGTTTCTAAAAGTCACATCTGATAGCCTTCCCGGTGGCGATGTTATAACCTGAGAGATGGGTTCATACAAGTGTTTGACATACAGGGCAGACGATGGAGGCACAGATGAGGGAGCGGGAGAAGCAACCACAGATTATGACAAGGCTGTCAACAGCAGAACAAAGAGAAATCAACTAGGGGAGGAACGTGGAAAGAGACAAGGTATGAGACTGCTGCTTTGAACACAGCGGTGGCTGGCCCAGTTTCAACCACAGCATGGACAGGCCAGAATCCAAAAAGCAACTGCACTTCCCGCAGCCAAAGAGAACTGCAGATTATGAGCGAAATTCTGCCCCCACTGACGCTAATGGCAAAACTACCATTTTTTCCAGGAGTCTCCAAGCTCTAGAGCAGAGGTGGGAAAACTACGGTCCACTGGCTGCATCTGGCCCGCGGGGAGGCTGTCCTGCCTGGCCAGGGAGGCTAGCCCCCGGCCCCTCCCCTTCTGTCCCCCTTCCCCCGCGGCCTCAACTCCTCTGGCCAGGCAGCGCAGGTGCTCTGAGCAGCATGGTAAGGGGGCGGGGGTTGCATAAGGGGCAGGGGATCCTGGGGGGGCAGTCGGAGACAGGGAGCGGTTGGATGGGGCAGAGGTTCAGGGGGGGCGGGGCAGTCAGGGGATGAGCAAAAAGAAAAGGAGGACTTGTGGCACCTTAGAGACTAACCAATTTATTTGAGCATGAGCTTTCATGAGCTACAGCTCACTTGAAGTGAATAACTCCTTTTCTTTTTGCGAATACAGACTAACACGGCTGTTACTCTGAAATCAGGGGATGAGGGGTCGGATAGGCATGGGAGTCCTGGGGGGGGCTCTCAGGGGGTAGCGGGGTGGATAGAGGGCAGGGGCCAGGCTGTTTGGGGAGGCACAGCCTTCCCTACCCAGCCCTCCATACAGTTTCAGAACCCCGATGTGGCCCTCGGGCCAAAAAAAGTTATGCTCTAAAGCAGGGGTGGGCAAACTACACTGGGAAGTTCACAGCCCAAGAAACACGTTCCCCAAAACTCAAACCTTATTAGTTTAGAAAATAAAGTGAGAAAGTCCCTTGTTCCTCAGTCAGAGCAGCCGGATCGGGCCCGAAAAATTACTAACCCCAGGCGCGCTCTCAGCCCATCGTTAGAAGAGACGCCCCAAGACACAGAGCTCGCAAGGGCTGGGCGCGTTGGCGGCAGCAGAAGAAGCCGAGCAGGAAACCTCGGCACAGGGAACCTGCGCTGAGAATCCAGGAGAAGGGAAAGTCCCCCCGGGCCCTGGGGTGCGGGGAGCCTGCAGTCTCTTGGGGCTGGGTACCGCAGCCAGAGCGCAAAGCGAACCCAGTCCCCAGCGCTCTCCAGGCATTCGGCCAGGTCTACACGACAGACTTTATCTGGGTGTAACGACGTCGCTCGTAAATCCACCCTCCCCGAGTAAGGCAGGGCTTAACCCCCGGCGTAGCCAGGGCTATCCCGGTAGAAGGGCTTCTCCCCGGGGGGGGTAGGACATCTTCGCTTACCGCAGCCAGGCAGCCTTTAGCGCACAGACCTGTCCATACAGGCTTGTTGTGATCAACTCCCTTCGTCGCCCCCCCCCCCAGTTACACACATACAAACACGGCTTGAAGAGTGCCCAGGTGAGCCCCCCTGCCCCTCTCGCTTGCTTATCCATGCGAGTCCCACCCCCATCTCTGCCATCGTGAGGAAGGGAGCGCACAAGTCCGGACACGTTCCGCAGCGCAGGGGAGACCCAGGGAGCTCCAACCCCGGCCCAGCCTGCACCCAGGTGAAGGGGCGCTCCAGGTCCTCCCGCCAAGGGGGCTCTGCCCCGGAGTCCCCCCCCCCTTCCCTTGGGGCGCCTGGGTCCGATCGGTGGCTCACCGCGAGCAGGCAGAGAAGCAGCAGCAGGCTGGCACTCATGCTGGCCAGCCCCGGGCTCATCCCGCCGGCGAGAAGGGGGACACCACCCCTAGCACTCCACTGCCAGGGCTCCTCTCGCTTTCGGTTTTTTCTGTCTGTATCCTCAGCTTAGTCCCGGAGAACTCCTTAGCGAGCGCTCCGCGCGGCTCGCTAGCCACTATTCAAGTAAGCGAAAGCTGCATCAAGCAATCTAGAGGAGGAGGAGCCCAGAGGCGGAGGGAGGGGCGGGTGTGGGAGGATCCAGTCCTTCGGACCTGGAGCTGGAGTTTAGATCAATGCCCACCTTTCTCTCTCTCTCTCTAACCAGCGTTAGCTGCAGGCACCTGGGCGTGGTGCGTCACTTAACTTCACTGCAAGGAGGGATCCTGCAAACACTCACGCATGGGTGTTACTTTATTCGTGTGAGTAATGCCTCTGATTTGGAGAAGGTAACGTTTTGCAAGCGCCTAGGGCCCCAGTCCCCCAAACAGGAACATAAGAACGGTCCTACTGGGTTAGACCAAAGGTCCATGGAGCCCAGTGTCTTGTCTTCGGACAGTGGCCAGTGCCAGGTGCGCCAGCGGGAATAACAGAACAGGGAATCACCCCAAGTGTTACCCACGTTCAGTAAAACTACTCCCTTCAGTAACCCTACTGGTGTGCTGAAGTGACTGCAGGATGGACGCTTTCGTTAAAAGTTTGATCTAGTTCTCTGTTCACTGCCTTAAAAAAGACACAATGGCAAGAACAAGACAAGACAAATAATTTAAAAGCAATCGTTTGCATGATGCAAAGGCACAGTTCTCAGTTGCAAGTGAAGTCCAGAGGAAATTCTAAAAGTTAAAGGATCCGATTCCAACCTCACACATGTTTAATGACTGAATCCATGTGATGCCTGATTTACACCAATCTGAGGGAGCGAACGATCAAGCCTAAAGTTACTTGGCGTATTGCTAACTCTGCAAGAGTGCAAATTAAGTCCCAAGACGTCATTGCTGATGTTATTGAAACACAGGCGGCCAGGCTGAGCAAGTGTTGTGGAGGAAACCAATTTCCTGCTTTCTAATGACCAGTTTCCCATCTTCAGTGTTGCATTGGGGGGGGGGGGGGACGGACGGGACATTTTGTTCCTCTTTACTTTTAATCTGTTTTTTAGAACTCTGATTGGCAGCTGCTGAGGAGGTTGGGGTGTGGGTATATTATATGAAGGGTAAACTGAGAAGAAATGGTATTATGCTTCTTAACAAATTGCCTTCCCGCCCCCCAATATCAGATTGTCTTTCTTAGCAGGAGCTGAGCCCAAAAGACAACACTTACAAGTGTGCTTAACTGAACTTTAGCCACAGGGACTAGTCCTGGTGTAAAGTTAGGTAAGTGTTTGCAGGATCATGCCTTACGCTGCATTAGTAAAGCTATATGGGCATGTCCCTGTTCTCCATAAACAATCATATAAATGTCTTCATTGAGTGCCAAACACATATACTGCATTTTACAAACACATCAGAGGTGGTTTGATGTTGGTATTAATTCCTGGCCTTGGATGATAATAAGATCAGCAAAACATGTTTAAAAGAATAAGAAACAAAGACTCAAATGACAATAAGAACCTGATTTTCAGCCATGTTGAGCACTGTCATCTGAATTTGTGGATACACGGCACCTGTGAAAATCAAGCTCCAGAGGAGTCTTCGGCTTAGATTTTAAAATAGAAGAACAGAATGAGTTCAGGGCCACGCATATGATGACTCATAAAATAGGAATGATTTGAAGAGGCTGTGACAGTCTGTATCCCTATGTCCTCCCTTTTTACAAAACTATAACGGATTTTTTACAAAGTATATGGGAGGTATCATTTGAAAACTCATAATTTGCTGATCTTTAGTATCCTGGTAAAATATTTGTGGCGACATTGTATGTAAAGTTATACGATTCTATTGTATGATATTACTAAGACATAGTCTACGGCCATGTCTATGCTACCACTTATGTCAGCTAAATGGTATGTCGCTCATGGGTGTGAAAAAAACACAAAGCCCCTGAGCAACATAGTTTTCACCAGCATAAGTAGGGTGACCAGATGTCCCGATTTTATAGGGATAGTTCCAATTTTTGGGTCTTTTTCTTATATATGCTCCTATTATCCCCCACCCCCATCCCAATTTTTCACACTTGCTGTCTGGTCACCCAAAGCGCAAGTGGGAGTGTGCACAGCTGCTTGTTGGGGGTGGTTTAATTATGTCGATGGGCGAGCTCTCGCCTGTCGGCATAAAGAGCAACAACACAAGAGATCTTACAGCAGTGTAGTTGCATCAGTACAGATATGCCACTGTAAGGTCTCTAGTGTAGACATAGCCTAAATCTGAGGAAACAGCCACAAACCAGTACCTCCGAGACATAAGGTAAACTGACGTCTCAGTCAGGTGTCAACAAAATCAAATGGATTATCACCTGGGTTTCAGGACTATCATCAGGTATCAGCTAAATTTCCCCATCTCCACAGACTAGCTGTCTCCTGAACCTCAGCACAAAGAAGAGAGGTCCCAAAGTATTTTTCTCTTTATCTCTACTGATGATATTAACAACACCTGAAGGACAAAGAAATTAACAGTGAACTAGGGGATAGATCCTGGCTGAAAGGATTCTAGCCAGTAAGACTGCTAAAACATGTAGTGAGAAAAAACTTTCCTTTGTCTCAATTGACTTGTTAAGTTAGGTATTAGATGTATTTCACCTTTTATTTATTTTTGTAACAAAACCTAATGTGGTATAAAAGTCAGAGTTGAAGTGATTACAAGTATCTTTCTGTAGTTAACAAACTTGTTTTATTGTTTTATCTAAACCAGTGTTTGTTTAGGGAATTCCTTGGAAATAAGAAGCTTTGTGCTGATCATTTTCCATTAATGAAATGATTGGACTCTGTATGAGCTTGTATTGTCCAGGAGGGTGCTGGGTAATACAAGACACACATTTCCAGGGGAAAGTCTGAGATTTGGAGTTGGCTGGTGTTGCCTATGGTGTAATTCATGGGTGGTTGGCTGCCTGGCTCTAGCATTCGTACACAATAGCTGGAGGCTATGCTCCTGGAGGCTGTGCGTGGGCAGGCCAGGAGTGGTAGTTTTCACAGCAAAGTAGTGTAAAAGGCACCCCAAATTGGGGAACTGAGCAGACAAAGCTGTCAATCAGTCTAGATTGTACCACGGGGAATGTCATGGAAGCCCAAAGCTGGAAGCCATTCCTTCAACCTGTATAGTTTGCACAGGCTTATATGTATTTGTTTTCCAGGAAAAGTTTAAGATGTTTTGACCTACAGGGCCAGTTCATCTGAAGCTGCTTAGAGCTGGTCAAAAAATATGTAAATGTTGTCATGAAAAATGTCAATGTTGTTCCCATTTCTCAGGGTTGGAAATTGACCCTTTTTCCCCCAAAAAAAACATTTTGTGACACTTTTGCATCAAAATTTGTATTTAATAAATGTTGGGTTTTCCCCCCATGTTTTGTTTGCTGTTGCTTGGAAAAAAATTCTTTGTTTCAGTAATTGATCATTTTAATTTTTTATAAAATTGTGGAAAATAGGGTTTTTTGGATTTGGTTTTGTTTCTCTTTTCTGTTTTGAAATATGAACAGTTGTTCCTGAAATTTTTCATTTTTGAAAACTGTCATTTTTTGATTGGGGAGGAGGGAATTGTGCTCTAAACATTTCAATCAGCCAGGTTAGCGTTGCTAAACATGCAGCAGTACCAAGTCACAGCAGCTGCCAGTAATGCTAGGGTTGTATTTTTTGGTTACACTCAAATGTTCTGAGTGTGGCTGTGGGCAGTTGACTCAGCTTTCTGAGGACAATATTGAAACCAGGGGAAGTGAATTTGGAATCAGGGCCACAGTAATTTACATCACTGTGAAGTGGGCGGAAATGCTACCGTATAAGAATAGTGTAAAGCCCGCACAAGGTGCAAAGTAACCCTGAATGTGTTAGTCTGTGGTGGTGTTATATGTCTGGTCACACAATGCACAACTCTGCTCTTTTCTACGCAGGATTCAATTCTTTCCAGCTCTGGACTCACTCGGGGATTTTCTCTGAGGTTTTCTAGGGACTTTTTTCTTTTTAAACTTGCTTTTTCTCCCATTGTGCAATTAGCTCATTTCCCAGACACCGTTTTATAGAAACTGTACACGTGAAGGCAAACCTCTCTCTCTGAAATACAGCCTCTTGCTTTACAAGCTGTAATTTGCAAATCTCTCTACTGCTCCATCTCCGCCGAGCTTGAGGACACAGCAAATTCTGATTTGTGCCAGATCTACTCTGTAGCCCAGAGCTCTGGAAATGCAATCTAACCTCCCTGATGAAGGGTGTAATTTCACCTCTCAGAGCATCCCCTCACCCGTGAATCACGAGTGGTTTGGCAGAGATTCAGAACAACTGCCGGCTGATGATGCAATGTCTGACTCAGAGGTGTTGAAATAACCACTCCTTTAGTTTTTAAAAATGAAGAGATTAGGTTAGGGTAGAGTATGGGGGATGGAATAGTTTCTATAACAGGAGAGCTACCTCAAAAAAGCGATGATCCTGGGAAAATGTGGACAGGTGGCTCTGGCTGGCAGTCCAGGGGCCAGCTTCTGCCAAGGTCCCCAGGTCTCTATTGAATACTGACAAATACATAGCTGAAATCAGTCTGACTCACCTGTGTGTTAGGATTGTTAAAATAGGAATTAGAATTATACCCTTGCATAGGCCATTGATTCTGCTCCTCCATAGTCATAGGAGAGGAGCACATCCAAACATCTTCTGTTGATTTACACTATTTTACACACCCCTCCATTGATTCCCAGTAAGCGCCTCCCCTTCTCATTATTTCCAAAGGGCTTGTGGGGACCACCTTAGTTGCCGGTACCATTTCCTTTCCAGGTACCATGGTAGCTATTATACAGGTGCTGGCCCCCTAGTTGAGCATTTTGTATTCCCATACACATCTCCCACCCACCTCGTGAGATTTTCTGTTCATTAAAACAACAATGCTAGCCACAAGACAAACACCACAGACAAACACAAAACACAGATCCATGGTATTATGGGTTATTTTTCCCTGCTGGCACCAGCTTGCTTGTAGAGTGTCTGAAAAACAAAAGAAACAATTTCTACTCCCCTGGTGGGGACAGATTATTGCTTGATGATAATAATAATAATAAAATATCACTTCCTTTTACAAATTTCCTTGCTAATTGCAGGAAAAACAGAAGAATTACCTCCAGGCTGTCTTTATTTTGTTCTATAGTCAGGCTAGTGAATTACCCCAATCACTGGTCATTTATGAAATTCATGAGGTGGTGTGCCTCAGTTTCCCTTCTTGCACAACAGACCATGTTTGCAATAGTTTCTCTGCTGTACCAAGCTTTAAGTTTATTCTCAGGGAATAGTTGAGACAGCTTCAGATTTTAGCACTGTACACACACACCCCTTAGGGTTAACCTGTTCCCCCTATGTTCAGGCTTGACTTGTTTTTTTCACCTCCCTTTCCTGGAGGGCCATAATCTGAGTCTTCTAGTAGCTTGTTTGCTGACCAGATGTATTCATTATTTGCAGCTCCTTTGTGCCCATCAGCTAGGTAACTTGCATTTACACAGAGGCTTACTAGCTTGCCTCTGGATCCAAAGCTATTAGCAGCTCAGAGACTGTTTGAAAAGGGAAACATTCCACTTCCACTAGAGTACTGATTACTTTCCACTTTCATCTCCTGCTCCGAAACACACAGAGATCTGAAAAAGAAAACACAACCTATTAGGGCTCCTTTTGGAGACCTAATAGGATTTTAATGAAGTCCCATGTGTTATTTGCATTTCTTTTACCCTTTCTCCAATATAAACTGCACACGTCCTGGGAAAATGCACAGTCCTTCCCTATAGTTTAACCTCCATAACATTATATTAGCCGTAGTAATTTTACACAAGGTGTAACTGCCTCTCCCATGCCCACAGAGTTTTCATGCACACCCACCAAAGCAACAATCTGATCCCCCAGAGCCACCCCAAGGCTCAGTGTTCCCATCATTCCTCTCCTTTTCCTTTTCTTTTACCTGTGCGCGCACACACAAAATTCTCTTTTGCCTAACATTCTTTGCACTGTGATTACTCTTTTTTATCTGATGAAGTGAGCTGTAGCTCACGAAAGCTCATGCTCAAATAAATTGGTTAGTCTCTAAGGTGCCACAAGTACTCCTTTTCTTTTTACTCTTTTTTATACAACTGTACCCCGATTACACTTCCATCTTGTACAACTAGACACAACCAGGGGCAGCCAAGTTAAGTTCCAGTAGAAACCCCTTACATTCCTTTCGTGATTTTGATTACATTACCCAAGTCTAATAATTTTGATCAG